TACAAAGAGTGATGGTTTGTGATTTCTTTTTTACTTTATTAAGGGATGCTGGAAATGCCTTAGTGTTTGTTTCTGAAGTTCTGTTTCCTTAGGTTCCTACTACAATTTATGGTCGGTATATGAGCGTGTAGTACTTCATAGAAAATGTGTATTTAATAGAAAATATTTGTTGGTGTTTGTTATAATGTTTATGACATTATAGTAGAATAGATCTTAGCTTTCCTATTCAAACCTAAACAACTAAACTTGGAATCCAGATAACTGTCCCAGAGGATGAGCAAGGGAACTAAACTCCTTTCTCTCCACCAGTCTCATGTATTTTATAGTTTTATTGACTGGGTTCAATCTGAAACCTGTGTCTTTACCCAGTATTTTGTGTAACATCAGGCACAGTTTCTGCTGAAAGGAGACCCATGTTTGACAGATTGCTAGCCTGACTTGGTACATCAGATCTCGTGTTCCAACTGGCTTGTCTTTGACTAAAAGGCTTATTTTTTCTTATGCTATTCTTTTATACTGCCAGCAGTGCCCTTTGATTAAGGGAATTTCACTGCTCTCAGATACGGAATGAATGAAATACTGTTCTCTGTTAACTTGTTTTTCAATAATGCTGGCTTTAGAATAGATCATCTCAAGATGGAAGTGACCTATAAGGATCAGAGTCCAACTCCCTCCTCCTCACAGGACTACCTAAAACTAAACTGTAGAGCTAAAAGCATCATGCCTTCCAACCCAAACCACCCTATTATGATTTTATGAAATCTAAAGGGTACTGGTGTCAGTCTGTGAAAATAGTGTAGTGAGTTGTCTTGTCCTTCAGGACAGCCTGAAGTTGGCAGTGCCTGGTTAGCTTAGTTGAATTGATAGAGATTTTAATTTTCTTTATTATCCCTGCTCTCTCATCTGTATGTGTATTTAGTGAGAGAAGCAGTGGCTGTGTCAGTATCTGGCTTATAAATCTGAGTTGCAGTGGTTTAGGATTATGAAGATTGACAAAGCTTGAAGTTGTCCCCCCACTCCCTTTTCTTTTTTAATATCCCAATATATGTGGGCTTTACTAAAATATTTAGATATCCTCAGATTAGCTTGGCCAAATGTACTACAGTCTGTTTCTTGTAAAGTGTGTGTCCTCGGACTGTACACTGTAGCACATGGGTAGAGCAGTATCTGCAGCACAAGAAAAGAAAAGACATCTATTTGTTGTGTCATTGCTGTGCTGCAGTTGGCCTTGAGGCTACTTCTGAGGAACCAAACAGTTAAATTTTAACTCTACATCCTGTTGATCAGCTGTTGTGGATTTTTTTTTTTTTTTTTTTACATATGGTTTGCGTAAGACAGATAGCAGATGCAGCTAATCATTAACAGTTCCTTCAACCTTCAAGCTTAACTTTGCTTCTGGGATTAGCTGGTATGGTCCTTAGCACCCAGTTGTAATGGCTACGGCTTTGTTTGATGGCTTACTTGAAATTTGCTTCCCAAGGAAATGCAGTGTGCTTTTGGAAGGGCCCTCTTCTCCTACTTCTCCAAATCAGTACAATGCTCAACTTTTTCTAGCTGGATTATATTGTCTAGGAGTGAGAATCCCATCCCTGTCCTCCAAATTTTAAGTTATGCTACCTGTTTGTTTCAGCATAGGCCAGACATACTTGAAACTGGTCTGACTGTTTGCTAGAGCTTGTTAACCTGTGTTAACCCAAGCTGGTTTACCGTACTTTGTTCCTCTCCATCTTAGATGTTTAAAAATAGGTTTTGTGCATGAAATCACAAACTACTGTTTAGCTGTCTTGTTACCGTATCAGAGCACACACAGCTGCAAGTGCCATCTATGGCCAAAGCTTTGAGAACGTTCTGTCTTCGCTGTACCTGGTATATGTGGTTTGTCTCTCTTGGGAATTGACTGTTGTCTGGCTGGATAGCTATGCTATCCTGCTAAAAATTGCTTGTGTTTTTGGGTTTTTCCTCTTGTGGAAGCAAAAGACATTGCTTGTGATGACAATAAGCTTCCACATCAACATCATGCAAATAGATTTTAATAGTTGTTCATTTCTAGGGGTTTTTATGTGCTTTGTTTTGCTTGATGATCACATATCAATAACATATGCAGTCTTCATAGATCTACAAAAAGTAATGTCATCTTGAAGAAACAACATGCTGTGTAGTAGCTGATGGGCAGTATATTGCTCTGGGCAAAGCATATGCTGGGAGCCTTTGTTTTGCATAGGGCCACAATACAGCCTTGCTTTTCCAGTGTACCAGATGTGATCAGAGCTGCAGTCACATTTGCTTTGAACAGTGAATTAGTCTCTAGCACAGGCATGCCTGCATGCCATTCGAGATTTACACATGTGCCCTAAGTTGCTGGCTCTGCATTTTGATAGAGATAGTCTTCTCTTTGCTTGGTGCTTCCATGAAATCCATGGAAAGACTTTGCAAATAGCTGTTCTATATTTAATTTTGGTTACGCTGTCTGATATAATTCATATATGCTCTTTTCCTGTTCTAAGGGGTTTTTCCGCTAACAAGAATTTGTTGCCAGATTACTTAAGTTATTTTCCGAAGTATGTATGGAGCATCTGTTCCTGGAATTTCTTCTCCTCCGCTCTAGTAATTTATGGAATTTTCATTGTTCATTGCAGGGAGGAAAAGTCAGTTTTTTATGGACTACCTGCTAGGAGAAGATACATCTCTTTGTATTGTGCAGGGCTTTGTTTTGTTTCTTGTTTTTCTCCTCACATCAACAACGAGAACTCTTAGTATAAAGATGCATTTTTGTCCATCCACTGAACAAAAAAGGAATTTGCAAGTAAAACCACATTAGAACAGCAGGTTAGTGAAAATGAAGTAGAAGCATAGATTTTAAGGGGCATAGTAGTGTTTTAAAATATTCTTATTTAAAACATTGTAGTATTTGCCTTAAATTGACGCTCTCCTCATCCTCCTATATTGCTGTCTTGCTTAAGTGACTCTAAAGTTTTGGGTTTTTTTCACCTATGCAGTTCTCATGTATTACAAAATACGAGGAGTTGTGTGTTATTGAAGAGTTTTGTAAGTTAGTTCGAGACCTGGTATTATCATTGAACAAAAGGGTTCAGGTTGTTTGGAGGAATTGGAACATGTAGCACAGCACTCAGCTAATATTTCTTGATCCTGTTGAAAGCAAACTGTAAGTCAGAACTAATAACTATATATTAGTCTCTTAAAGGAAAAGAACAAATAATAGCTGAAGCTCAAAAAGTAAGGGTAGTCTTTTCTTCAGTCTTCTTTCTGTTGTCTGTGGAATTGTCTGCCAGAGCAAACATAGGTGCAGTAGCTGATCTCTTAAACTGAAGTAGTGGTAAATGCTTGATGTATAGGATTGTCTCATTTGAAAGGTACTTTTTGTTCCTGACTTTGGGATTTTTCAGAGCATGAGCATTTAGAAGAATAAAGTTTGCTCCAAAGCTTTATTGGGATATTTAATTACCTTATTCCAAATAAGCTGATGCAGGCATATACACTTAATGTTTTGCATTGCTCTGATTCTGTGTGTTTCCAAAGAAAAAAGAAAATAACACCTTTTGTGATGTTAAAAGTTGCCTGTTATTTAACTTCAAGCTGTGAAAACAAGCTTCCTTGATATCACTGTTTTTAGGTGCTTCTTGACTTGTGTTCCCACTTGCAATGTATACAATGCAATGCCATGTATCAAAGCTGTTAAGGAGGATTTTGTTTCTTTCTGTACTTGCTCAGGAGTATTTAAGAGTATTTGAACGTGTGCACTACTTAATGAAAAAAACAGTTCAACTGAAGGCATTTTATAGTGAACTCTCAATGCTGGCTTTCCTAGAAATGGCAGTTTTCAGGATGCTTACCTTGCTTTTTTTCGTCTTGCCTCATACAGAACTAGATTAATATAAATGCATTTTGTGTTTCATCTGTGACTCTGCTTCTCTAAACAAAACCTCGCACATCACAATATCCATCTTAGATTAGGCCATTTCTAGAGACATACTGATGGACAAGGACTTTATTTCTGAACCTTTACTCTCTGTTTCCATGACTGTCTCCATGAGGAATCGATGCTTACAGACAAAATTATTTTCCTTAGTGGAAAAAATGATGGCTTGATGGGTTTTGTTCAATGTCGCTTAGAGTGGGGTTTTGTTTTGTTTTTTTGTCAGATACCATCTCCTACAGTAAGATCCTGAGGTTCTAGTAGGTACCTAAAACAGTAAATTCAATCCCAGAATCTTGAAATAGGCTTCTAGAAGTAGGACTTCCTATGGTATCTGATGCTTGATTTGTACTCTTTCAGCTTGGGTTTAAGTGGTGGTTATATTGCATGTAGAAGCACGTGTCTGCTATGTGAAGCTTAGGTTGATCCTTTGCAGACTGCTGGACTGACCATTCTTGGTCTTTTTAGGTGTTTTCTAATAAGATAGTGGAGCTTAGCACATTTTTTTATTCCTTTGCTTGCATCTTTAAGGCTGTTTTATTCTTTTAGTAAAGCTGCTAAAACCAGTATAACTGAAACTAGCCTCAGTGCTGAAATTAGCCATTCTCTGTGCAGACTTTTACTCTGATTTGCACTGATGGCTTTGCTGAAAGAAATTATTGCACAGACTTCCCAAGCTTAGTCCCCCTCTGGAGCTGTAGGCAAATTGCTTAGCTTGTCTGTCCTGGTTTCCCAGCTGTAGAGTTGGGAGTAATTCATGACTAGTGTCAGTCATAGGAATGTTGAGGGTTAATCTGCAAGGACTGTATCTGCACAGTGTCTTCAGCGTGTCAAAGCAGTAATGTATAATTGTAATTTTATTATTAATATTGGTTATTTCATTAGTGTAATCTTCAAACAACATTTATGTAGATTAAACTCATTTCGTCAATAAACTGGCATCCTTCCAGCAGCATTAGCTCGGTTCAGACTCTTTGTCTAACAGTGAAACCTAAGCATGTAGATAGCTCTGTAAAGAAAACAGCAAATGCCTAAAGAAACCTGTGCTTTCTTGTTTTTAATCTAGACTGTGGACATCCACAAAGAAAAGGTCGCTCGCAGAGAGATAGGCATTTTGACGACCAATAAGAACACATCAAGAACTCACAAAATTATAGCGCCAGCGAACATGGAGCGTCCTGTAAGGTATATTCGAAAACCTATAGACTACACGGTGCTGGATGATGTTGGCCATGGCGTTAAGGTAAGAATACCTGGACACTTGAGGATTCCAAGTAACACAGATCAGGAGATAGGGTTGGGGCATTAAAATGTTTAATTCCTTTATGGTAGGAAGGATTATGGGTTTCATATGCTCCCATGCACAAACATTTAAATAGCAAAACGCAGGTTTTGAGCAATGTTTGCCATAACCTTGTGACTCTCGGTGGTAGTCACAGTGTCTGAAAAAAATCGCTCATGATCTTAGGCTAGTGACTTGTCAGAAAAGGCATGACTGACTTTTAAAATTATCACTCCTTCCTCCTCTGATTAAGTTGTCTCTGCCATTCCCTTTATTTCTTTCAGTGTTGAGAAAAATCAAGTCATCTGTTAAAGGGAAACTGGCTGGTGGGGTGGGTGTTTTTTTTTTTTTTTTTTTTTTTTTTTTGTTGGGTTTTTTTGGGAGGATGGTCAGGAGAACGAGGGTCAGATAGTTGGCATTTAAATCTGGCATTTGATGTCTCACTCTCATTCGTGCTTTCAGACAGCCTTATTTTCCTTTTCTCTAAATAAAAGAAGTCATAACTTAACATCTGCCGCCCTTGATATGGTCATAGTTGAAGTGAATTAAATTGCTCCCTGGACATTTTTCTTTTTTATAACTAAAACAGCTTTGTATCCCCTGAGAGGAGGCCTTCCAGGTATATTCAGTTCACAACAATCTTCCCTTGAATGCCATTAAAAAGCTTTTATTCAACACCCATGTATCCTCTAAGCTTGATGTGCTCTGGTCAGTCAGTTGTGCAGCTAGATCAGCCTATCATGTGCCCTTTGTGCTGAGCTCTTGAGGAACAGATCTTTCAGAACTACTCAACAGAAAAGAGTGCCAGGGTACCTCCTGCTTTGTAGTAACCCTCTAAGTGCCCAGAAAGAATCTAATTCCACCACAAGTTAGAAAGCATTTCTATACCATGACAGCTCTAGGGTACGAATTAATGTAGTGACTTTGGATTACTCGATTTTTATTGTTTGTAGCAAAACCTGTGCTAAACCTGTAACTCTTAGGGTTGTTTTGTATGAATAATTTAAGCCAGACTGGATGAAACACAGCCCTATATTGAAGCCAGAAAGATATGCCCTGTAGTGCTGCAAAATAGAAACACTGGGGTTAGAGAAATAGTTAATTTTTCATAACAGTCTGCAATCGAGGAGATAGCTCTAGGAGTAGAGAATATGGGAATCCACATATTCCATGTCAGGATATTGATTTCTGCTTTTAAGGGCTCCAGGGATCAAGTTCTGTAGAAGACTTCTAAAAAGTAGAATAATTACTGTTAGTCTCTGAAGTTGAAGCTTTGCTGAACTGCTTGTATTGTGCAGGCTCAGAGCAGATCACTTGATCCATGAACGCTGAAATTAAGGTGTAGCAGTTGCTTTTTCCAATGTGACTATTTGCTTTTAGGAGCACTGGTGTCGTTATTTAAGGTGACCCTCTTTGTTTGGGGGGTGGGGGAAAATGAGGTCCTGCTTATCCATTTCCAGGCAGCTCTTCTGGAACATTGTTAGTATGAAGGCTTTTTTAACTTTTAGTAGTTTAATTTTGTATTAAAAAACTTGCTCTGTTCAGAGGTATAATAGCTTCCAGTAATAACCAAATTATGAACTCATTTCCAGTCAGCTACAAATTATATCTTGCTATTGTTTCTTTATTTAGTGATTTGCCTAAGTCTGTGGAAGGCATGAAACACTTAGTAGAAAAGTGATGTAGGTACTTTTTGTGTAGGCTCGTTACACAAACTGAATAAGGTGCCAGACAGGCCTTTGGGTGTATAGTTCCAGGTGGCTGTCATGCATATGACACCTTCACCAGTGTTGACATTCACTGGACACACTGTTGAGAAAAGTGAGCTGAGGTAGTGGAAGTCATAAATAAATATTTTAGTCATCATACTACTTGGGTTCCAAGTGTGACACAGATCATAGCTCTGAAGAAAGTAGCTTACTTTGTCTGAAAACCTAGACATGGCAGGTGCTGTCACAAGGAAATCAAACCAAAACAACTTAAGAAACTGGATCAAGTCCTGTTGGAAGTCAGCACAAATAGCAGATGATACAGAGCATCTCGAGTTGCCTCTTGAACATACAGATTAGGGGGAAGCATACAATAAATTGAATTACAAATTTTGTCTTGTCCAGAGTGGTCTTAGAAGATGTTTCAGACTCTGCTAAGTCTTATTTTCTTGACCAAGGATTACACCCAAAACTGGACAGCAGCACATTTGATTAAGCCTTAGAAACCATCTTTTTGTAGAGGAAAAGAAGTTTGAAGTTTTGCCTAGAGCAACTGTCCATTTGACTAACTTGCAGGTCTTTGAATGTCTTCTGCTGTGGCAACTGTCAATAAAACACAGTACAAGATATACATTGACAAGATACACATTTTATTAATTTAAAATTATGCAACACTGAAGCCTGTCGATGACAATTTATTGCTGTTAATGAGACTCTCTGTGTTCTGGTGCAGGATTTGATAAAGAAACAGGAAAAATACAGGGAGGAGAAATCGAAGAGGATTATAGCCTGTTTCTGCTTTTATTTATTTGATGAAATACTGATCCTAGGAAAAATGCCATTAAAACGTGCAGTATATTTTAAGGGGTGATCCTGAATTGCTTTACATAAAAAGTGCAAATGAAAATACAAATAACGTCTCACAGACTTAGGGGGAAAGAAAAAAGATTGGGTAATCCTCAGAGTAAATATTATCTTCCATCTGAGCAAATGCAGATACACCTCCGATGCATACTCACAGCTCATTTTCATTGTGTATGCGTTTGATGCTTCTCATAGCATATGTAGAGGGGACGCAAAAGCAGATGCCTGTTCTTGGGGCATAGAGAAGGGCTCTATGTGCCTCCCTCTGTCTCACATGCGTGCAGCAATTTTTGTGGGGGCAGGTGATGAGGGTGGGGGTGGCAGTGATGATAAGCAGCTGCTCTCTATCACAAGTTTTCTCCCTGATGGGAGACACCTCCTTGGAAGGCAGAGCTGTTTCTTCCTCCAGAGGATTCTTGGTAGAAAAGCTTTTGTAGAGCAATCACTGTCCCTGCGGGTGTTCAGAAAAGGGTAGATGAGGTCCTTAGTGTCATGGTTTAGTGGTGGTCTTGGCAGTCCTGGGCTAAAGGTTGGACTTGATGATCTTAAAGGTCTTTTCCAACTTAGTTGTTTCTACAATTCAACGATTGTAGGGTCACAAAGGTGCTTTCTTCTTCAGCCTTGAAAGCTCTGTGGCTGCCCCAGCTGCTCCACTTCCTGCTCCTTGTCTTTGCAAGGCCAGGTACAGATGAAGTCTCTAAAAGAAATTACCTTTTTTAAATGTATGTGTATATATATATATATATATGCCTCTCAAACCAAAGGTATCATCAGTCAGAATGAGGAGGGCTTTTAAAGTTGTTTTGCTAGTGAGAAAGCTTTCCCTTGCAACAAAATACTGTGTGGATGGCTCCAAGAAACACACAGGCAAGCATTTTTGCCGGTCTGTTAAGTAGTTGCTCAGCTGTCACCCTCTGGGGATAGGGGAAGGTAGCTGAAGTCATTCTTGGTACGTAAGAGTAGCTGTTGTGGTGTGAGAGCCTACCTTCCTATGTAGAGCTTGGTTAAAATTATTAGGCAGAGGCTACTTTAATATTTCCTTTCTTCTCTTCCCTTCCTTTGTGAAAGAAAAAATAATGTGCCAGCAAATAAATAGGTCAAATACAATTACTCATACAGAAAATCCTCAGTTTAAGAGGGGGAGAAGGAGGAGGGAGCTTGGAAGCTGCCTTAAAAGCCCTGAAGTTTGCTTTTTAATTAATTACAATCTTTCTTGTTTTTTAGTAGGAGGCAGGTGAAGTTGCAGCAATTTGTAAAATGGCAGCTAAGTAGGAAGCTGAAATGATGCATTATGGTAAAGTCAGATAAAATGTTGAATACATGCTGTTGAAATGCCTAATAGCTGTAATTAGATCAAATTTGTTTTATGGAACTAAGAGTTCTTCCAAACTAAACTTGAATTGTATATGAAGATTGATCACTTTTCAGCTTTGTTTTAAGAGAAGAATTGGAATTTCATCACTGTAAAACACTTTCATTTCAGTGCATTAATACTATTAAGCGTTCCAGCCCAGGAAGTCAAACAGGAGTTAAGCATTCAGAAATCTTTCTCAAGCAAATGGAAATTGGAAGGACTCCCTTAAAAAGCAGAGATTGGGCCAACACTTAAAAATACTAAGCTTAGAGAAGAGAGTCTTGCTCCCACCTTTGTTAGGCTTCTCAGCCTTCCTTACTCACCTGCCATCCTCATTCTTGTATCTGCGTTGGCAAAACAAAAATGCAGATGAGATGCTGATGTAAGGGTGGCACGCTACCTAATTGTGCCTGCTTCCCCTTTAGGATAAGACCTTTTATGTGTTAGCCACTTGAGGATTAACTTTTAAATAATTCACTGTAATAAAACCAAAGTGAGACAGGGATCCTGAACCTAAGCCTCTTCTGCCTTTGTCCCTGTATTAGCCTCTGTTGAGACACTCACACTTCAAAGGATGTCATGTTGCCAATTTCATTAATGTCACATCATCCCTCTGGGGTCATGGCCAAACAGTAAATATTGCTGTAGGGTAAAGCATGCTTCTCTGGGGGGAAAAGTAACTCTTCCTGTTGCCAGCTCTAATGACTTTGTTGTGAGTGGTGACACTGTATGCTTTTCACAGGGCACTTGCTACTGGGAGTGTGCATTGTGTCATCTTATACAATGAAGGTTTCAGGCCTCTCTGCTTGCAAAGAAAATTCAAAACTCTGCTGTCTCTTTTATTTTCTAATTTTGAAAAAAAATATTTGGGTTTGGTTGGTTTTGTTGTTTTTTTTTTTGTTTTTTTTTTTTTACATCTTGTTTTATTTCTGCTGCCAACTCAAAGAATTCAAAAGCTTGAAGTATTTTAAGACAGGGATCTAGGTATTTTTCTCTGAACAGGACTGCTGAGTGAACAGCAGTTTATCATGGTT